AACACACCTAAAAATACTCTTGGGGAAATATCGGTACAGTAGCCCACGATATCGATACTGTATCATCACATTAAACGATACGATATATTGATATTCCGATATTTTTGCACACCCCTAATGTGCACAGTGTACAAAGCAGCACATATGTTTCTGTATTCAGTGGGGGAAAAGTTCACCAGGACACTGAAAACATGAAAAAGTTTTGTGAGGTGAGAGTCGCGCAATGTCGATGATGAGTCCCCACCTCCCTCCCCCCGTACGGTGTCCTGGTTTTGACAAACGCAAATATGGTCACACTAACCTGTATTCACCTGAGTCGTGCCTCATCAACGCACAAGAACAGTTTTTTTTCCTTCACTTAGTTTATGCAAATGAGCCATGAAGTTTTAAGTTTTGTTTCTGTGAGAGTTGCACAAAACTGAATTAAACACATTATAATGTCAAATGGGCTGATGTGGCTCTGGAGTCGTTACAGTTTATATGTCGTGAAGTTGAATTTATTTATGCAGATTAGTAGTGCAGATAGTAATAATAATGATGATCATTTGAATAAAAAAACGTTAATGATTAATCGATAATCTATCGTTAATTCTCCTGACAATCGATTAAGAAAATTTTATCAAATGCCCATCCCTAATATACATATTTTGAGCCTGGGGGACTTTCCAGCTGATTTCCAGAACATTCCAGGCAGTGCAGTGACATATCCATAGAAACAGACAGACAGACCTCCAACCAAAAAGTTACACAGTGCACCTTTAAGTAGTGTGTATGTGTGTGTGTGTGTGTGTGTTGGTGGTTGGAGAAGTTGATGGTGCAGCTTTGTTTCTGTTGGTTCAGTAATGTTTTGCTTTTCTTGCACAGTCCAAGAGCTGAAATGTTCCAGGGCCCATATGTCGCTCCTTCCTGATCAGTGTTGGGAAGGTGACTTTTAAAATGTATTCCCCTACAGATTACAGATTACATACCCCAAAATGTAGTTTGTAACGTAATCCATTTAATTACTTAAAGTGAATAACGTAATCTGAATACTTTGGATTACTTGATATTGTCATGTTTTAAAAACTACATGAATGTACCAACCACATCCTGAAAATTCTTGTTTGTTCTCATCAAATTGTCTGTTTAGCCCAAGTCTCCATGAATAAGCAACTGTTTGCTGTAGAGAAGCAAAGACCAGGAAATCTTAACGTGAGATGTTTTGTTTTGTCTGCTAAAAGAAAATAAAAAGCCCAGTCTTTACTTAAGCATATAAAAAATATTATTGATAGAGAAATGATTTATATAAGAGATCACTGCTGCCTTCAATTATGTCCACTTACTGTTAGGTGTCATATTGTTTAGTCCTGGTTTAGTCCTGCTTTTAGTGCTGCTTTAGTCCTGCTTTTAGACCTGGTTTAGTCCTGGTTTAGCCCAAAATGTGAAAACAGGAAAATACTGCCCTGTAATCCATTTATTTCAACAAAGTAACTGTAATCCAATTACCACTCACTGAAACGGTAACTGTAACTGAATACAGTTACTCATAATTTGTAATCTTTGATTACATAATCCCAGTACAATCTGTTACTCTCCAACACTGTTCCTGATCTATGTTTATGTGTAATAATAATAATAATACTGTTTCCTCATTAAATCACACGTATTATTTTAAACTCTATAATCTGGCGTTTTTGAGGAGCATGTTATTCACACTTGGTTTTTTATGTTGGACCTGCCTTGTTGCGCCGCTGCTTTAGCTCCGTTAGCGCTGTTTACTGCAGTCACACACCTGGGGGCCTTTCAATGACCACTCTCTCTCTCTCTCTCTCTCTCTGTGACTGTCTGTGCTCTGCTGCTGGGGCCCTCAGCTCTGTCGGCCTCCCACACAAAAATGAAAATATTCAATCACAAAGGCTGCAATTATTTTGGCATTACAGTTAAGACCTCTGCAACACGTTCTGAAATGTCAGACGCCAGATGCCCTCACTGCCCTCAAAAGCTGCCAGCACTGTAGTTTACATTTAGATTTTTATTTCTAAATTGCACTGCCTGTCTATAATGGCTCATACAAGTGATTTATTCAAACATCTGCAACTCAAATCTGATCACAGTACAGAAAATTCCCCAGCACTAAAAAGTATGAACCCAGAGCCAATTTACACACAAGATAAGCTTTTTTTTCTCACAGTTTAAACATTTTCATTTCATACCTGCATTTTAGACTAGTTTTAGCTCTTGTTGACATTATAGTTGCTAGGTAACGGTTATAAAATTACCTCTGTGTGCAATATCTGCTGCCTACTGACATTATAAATTTCACTAAAGAAAAACTAGAATAAACTAGGAAATATTTTGAGTTAGATCTTAAATATAATGATATAATACATATGTTTTAGTGAAATGAGTGGTCTATGTACACTTCAGAGGCTGTGGAGAGGGGTTTGTTGGGCTCAGTTCCTCACAGACTCACAGAGCAGAGGCACACGGTGATAACAAGAGTCTGGACTACTTCCTTCACGTCATTTTTCACTCCAGAATTGAGATCAGAAAGTGTGCGAATCCTGTGTGACTGTAAACAGGCCGAGCAGTTCATAGATTGTGTTGGTGGTGCATGTTCTCCCAGTTTTAACTCTCCACTCAGTCATTTTTCTGGTGGAGAGTCTGTTACCTGCTGCTCTTATGACAGTGCTATTAAAATGAGGCCATATATTGCTGAAGATTTTTATTTTTATTTTTTATTTACTAATGTTTATTACGGACATCAGAGTCACATGAGACAAGACAAATGTATTTTTTTGAGTGTTGAGCTAAGTGCTAGTTTTCAGCACATGCATAAAAACAGACAAAGTACATTAGTTACATACAGATGTGTCATCCTGGCAGAATCCATGGCAAAGGAGAAATTAAATTTGTCAACTGGACAAACCTTTATTTAGGTCAAAAACAAGTGTGTGTGTTAGTTTCAGAGTAGTTTCAGTGTAGTTAGCTCGTCCCTGCAGGCAGATATAAGGCAGTTTCCACCAGCGTCTGACCAAAAGAAGCAGCTTGCAACTTGCAGGATTCCCACAGTCATGGAAATCCTGGAAAAAAGTCATGGAAATTAAAAATACCATTTTCCAGGCCTGGAAAAGTCATGGGATTTTGTCAATTCAATGAAAGTTTTGGAAAAGTCATGGAATTTTAGTATCTCTTTCACACAACTCCAGCATTTTGTTAAGTTACTATTAGACTATTCTGATTATATGTGAACGTTTGTGTCTTTTGTTTAAAAGAAGCGACAATAAATGCACTGACAGGATTTTGAATGTTCAAAAACTTTAATCCCAAACCATAAGGTGAGTGGAAGGAGTTAACATTTCATATTTAACCCTAAAAGTCTGATCAATGCTACATATGTAGGTGCTGTAAAGTCATGGAAAATTCACTTTAGGTCATGAAATTCATGGAAAGGTTTTGAAATTTTGTCAGTGAAAAAGAGTGGGAACTTTGAACTCGGATGAGCTGCGAAACATTTTCAACCTAAATAAACGTTAAACAGAAAAACAAATAAACAACATTTGGCATTATAACATTTTCAGTGAGCGCATTTTTGGTTGGAAACATACGATCATTTTAATTAAATTTTAGATTTGTTGCTATTTGTTCCCCATTTTAAATCAGCTGGTTACAGTTCCACAATCTGGCCCCTCAGTAGAGAAAGACAATGTAGACAATAGATATAGATATTAGGGGTGTGCAGAAATATTGAAATATCGATATATCGTATGGTTTAATTTCATGATACTGTATTGATATTGTGGGGTGCTGTATTGATATACTGCCAAGGGGTTTTTATTGTTAGTTTTTTTGTTTTTGGATATTTTACTAAATTATGTTGTGAAAGAGCTACAGTTGTGTTGTATGTTTGGAGAAAGAAAACATGTTTATTGAGCACATTAGACATACTCACTGTTTTGAGTAAAATGAGCATTTTTCATTTTCACTTTTCACAGACTTAGTGGTTTAATAAAGACTTTTAATATCACAATGCAATGAATTATTTTTTGTTTTTAATGAACCATATCAAATCTGAATTTGAAATATATCATATCGAATCATATTGAATCGACAGTGCACTGTGGCCTGTGTATCAAGATATGTATCGTATTGGCAGTTTCTCAATGATACCCAGCCCTAACAGAGATATAGATATATAGATAGATGTATATAGGTATAGGATATAGAGAATACAGATGATAATATTGAAACTAACTGATAACTATTCTACATACTTTATCTTTAAAACCCTGCAACAAATAACTATTGAAATGTTTTTGTTTCTATAATGAGTCTTAGAATTCACCTATTCAACTTTCTACAGCTCAAATCTAAATTAAAATGACTCAGATTTCTCCACAAGTGCAGAGATTCAGTTCTATAAATACTGACTTCCATTTATCCTATACTGAACAAAAAGTCTGTCGAGTAATTATCGAGACAGCTCTACTTGGAATGTTCCACAGTATGAAATAAATCTATTTTTTTCAAGAGTAGATGGTCAGAGGGGACGGGGCAGATGTCACAAATTGTCTCCTTCAGAACAAAATCGCTTCTTTTATATGAGATTAATACCAGTTTGGTGCTTCCATTGTTGATTCTGCAGAAAATTGTGCTGCTTCTCAATCCTCTGCGTTGTTCTTTTCCAAGATGACATGTTTGTTTTGACTTTACGGACCATGCGTTTCTCTGATTGGTTAATCCGCCTGTCAGTCATGCTTGAAATTGGGGAGACTATCCACATGAAACAAAACTCGTACATAGTTCAGCATCTTCTCTATCTGCACAAATAAATAGAAGTGAAAGGATTTTTTTCACAGTAGCTTTGAAAAGTGGTGCCATTATTCAACTTTGAAGACGTGATTGCTTTTAACTGTCAGGACTTTATGACACAAGAACCTCATCAACTTCGAGAACGTGAATGTGACCTTTTAATTGTTTCTAAATATGTAATGACAATATTTCTTTCTTTTGTCTTACAGAGAGAAGCCTTGGTTTGATTATGAGTGTCCACCTCACCTTCTAGTGCGCTCCCCTCGTGTTTTCAACTCTTCTCAAGATGGAACTATCCCCTCCGAAGAAGCTGGTTCTCTGACGCCACACTCTCCTGGACCTTTCTACCCTCGCATGTGGACACCTCGTTGGGATTTAGCAGCCGCCTGTGAGCCCTCTCCCAGATGTTTGTGGAAGTTCCAGTGAAGTCGCTCCAGCAGAAGTGAGAGGGAGGACCATGGGGAAGGAGCAGGACCTTCTGGGGGCTGTGAAGAGTGGAGACCTGCTGCTCGCCCACAAGCTCCTGGCCAAAGTCAAGGGCAACAAAGCAAGTGAGTACAGGGGTTCTACGGAGAGGTTCTTCAGTGGGGATCAGTGGTGGGAGTAACATGTTATAAAAGTAATGAATTACTGTGATGCACTGCTTTTTGTTGTAACGCAGTAATGTTACGACATTACATGGAAAACAATAGTAATGTTTTACTTGGTACAAATGTCAGTAACGCGCGTTTCAATGCTTTTTTAACCTGGATTGATGTGGTGGGTGGTTAAAAAAGACCGTTGGGTAACCGCGGGTGAAAGGACCGGCGCAGAACGATCGTACCTTGCAGACCACCTGTTCCACGGTCGCGGGGTTCTCTCAGGAGTGGTCCGAGATTCCAAGTTCTAGTCCAAGATTAGTCCTGGTTCAGTCTTGGTTTAGACCTGGTTTAGACCTAGTTTAGTCCTAGTTTAGTCCTGGTTCAGTCCTGGTTTAGTCCTGGTTTAGTCCTAGTTTAGTCCTGGTTTAGACCTGGTTCAGTCCTGGTTCAGTCCTGGTTTAGTCCTAGTTTATTCCTGGTTTAGACCTGGTTTAGTCCTGGTTCAGTCCTGGTTTAGTCCTAGTTTATTCCTGGTTTAGACCTGGTTTAGTCCTGGTTTAGTCCTAGTTTAGTCCTGGTTTAGACCTGGTTCAGTCCTGGTTCAGTCCATATGTGGCGCAAAAGTTCAGCATCTTCACAGTTCTTTTGGTGAGAGTAATTTAAAAGTGCTGTAATAGTCGTGTAATGTTTTACATTTTAAATACAGTAATATTATAATGTAACAAATGACTTGGAAATGACAGAAACAAGTCATAAATAACACATTACAGTTTGAAAGTCACTTGTCCAACAGTGGTGGGGATGGGGGGGTAATAGTTGTGGTACATTTTGTGTAATTGTGATACTTACATGTGCTTCTCTTCTAGATCATGTCCTTCTGTAAATGTGTACAGTTTTAAGCCTGTCACAATAACACATTTTGAAACAGGGAACATTAACACAGATATACTGAGTTAAATTATAATATGGAAATATGTGCCACTGAATTGATGTAGTATTTATTGTGACAGATCTGTAATTAGATTGGAATGTTATTTAATCTTTTGAAGCTGAGCCTATGTATTCATATGAAAAGTCTCTATTGTGTGCTGCTCCTGTTTGTTCACTCTGAGCCTAACAGAAGGTTCAGTCCTGATTCAGACTCGTAACAGTCCTCTTGTGGCAGTCCTGGTTTAGTCCTGGTTCAGTTCTGGTCCAGTCCAGGTTCAGTCCAGTTCTCTGCTCATTAAACACATGAGAAGTGAATATTTAGTAGTTTTCAAAGTACACTTCTCTGGCACGAGCGGTAAACACAGCAGCGTGTTAAATATCCACATGCATATTCAATCATGTATTTAGCGTCCCTCTGGGTTTGCAGACTTTCTCATTGATCTCTGACTCTTTTTGGATACTTTAAAAACTCAGACAGAGCTCAGACTGGTCCCAGCCCCTGTGTGTGCATGTGTGTGTGTGTGTGTGTGTGTGTGTGTAAACGGAGAGAGAGGGTGAGGGACGATGTGGGTCGAGAGAGAGGGAGCGATCTCAAATCAATGTATTTAAATTTTCACGCTGCTGTGCCACACCACAGGACATTTCAGCACAGATACTGCAGTTTGACCTCCTCTCACTCCTCTCACAGTCATTTAGTGAATCCAAGTGTGGGTGTTGGATCAGCTGATTTCACACAGTGTGGGTGTCACATTGGGTGCTGTGCAGCTGTGAGCGCACCCTAAGTCTGGATAACAACATGTTTATGTTAACCAGATGAGAATCTTGGATGCTGTGTTTCTTCAGTCTTATTTTAAAGTGCACTAGTTCTTTGCTGAAGTTTCCAATCCCTGTTTGTCTCCATGGAAACTGTGCATTGCTTCCAATGTTCCACAATATGGCTTTAAACTTGTCTATTTGCATTTCCGATTCATTATTATTAATTACAGCCACAGGTGCTTTTACTGTATTTCTAAGAGCTTGTATTGTCACTGTGAGCGTGCTGGACACTTCTTCTGTCTAGATGTTAGGGCTGTGCAAAAATATTGAAATATCGATATATCGTATCATTTAATGTGATGATACAGTATCGATATCGTCGGCTGCTGTATCGATATATCACCATATATATTGGTATATTTTACTAAATGATTTTATTACAGAGCTACAGTTTTGTTTGTTTAGAGGAAGGAAACTCATTTATGCAACACATTTGAAAGTTTCACTGTTTTGATGATTAAAATATTTGTGTTTTATATGAACTTTAATAATAATAATAATAATGATGGATAATGCATCAGTTTTATACAGCACTTTTTTTCTGGACACTCAAAGACACTTCACAGTTCATTATTCATTCAATCCATACCAGTGATAGTAAACTACTATTGTAGCCACAGCTGCCCTGGGGCAAACTGACGGAAGTGAGGCTACCAATCTGCGCCGTCGGCCCCTCCAACCACCACCACCATCACTCACACACACACCTCTTTGATACTAGGCAATGTGGGTGAAATGTCTTGCCTAAGGACACAACGACTTCTAGTATCACAGACATTTATTTTTTATTGAACCGTGTCGAATCGATTTGAAATATATTGTATCGAATCGAAACTGCACTGTATCGAGATATCTATCATATCTGCAACTTCTTAATGATATCAGCTTTATTAGTTGTGTTTATTAAATCTTCTTATCTTAAAAACGTGGATCATTACTGTGAGTGGGCTTGCATCTCCACAAACCTGACTCTTATTTGGCCTGTAGAAGAAACTCCTCCTGCGTGTTTCCATGGAAATGTTGTTCCTTTGGTTATAATCTTCCACAGTATGTCAGAATGTTCCAAAGTATGGCTTTAACTTTATTTCCATGGAATCATACAGGTGACGTGCCTCCATCAGAAAGTCTCTCCTCATCTTACCTTTCTGTCCTTCGAAACTTCACAAAGATCAGGTTATCAGGCACAGACCCACGTCCCACACCACTCACCACAACTTCTGACAGACGGGATTCAAAGTGCCCCAAAACATGAGCTAATCTGCGCTCTGCAAATCTGCTCTGCTGTGAGGGCCTTTCTCCTCGGGGGCCGCCTTATCTGCACATGTCCCAGAGCGCGTGCTGCTGGTACAGGGCCATTGTTCACGAGTACCCAGCCACGGCTCATCTCGGGCGTGGACAGTGAAGGCCAAGAGTCCCCCCCCCTGCTGTGGAGCATCAGAGGAGGCTTTCATCAGAACAAAGAGCGCGCTGTCAGACGAGCGCAGGGGAAGGAGGCACGAACCGCTGGATCGCATGGAAACTGATTCAAATCTATTCAGAAAAAAGATATATTTGATTTATTTTTTTTTTTTCCCAAGGTACTTTCATAAGACACTGGAGGACACTTTTCTACTTTAAAGGGCAATATTACAGTATATCACTCTTTTCAGATCTATGTATATAATGTTGCTTTATGTCCAAAAACACATCTAGAGTTGTGTTTTGTTTCATTCACACATGTTTAACACACAAACCCTGCACATTTAGGCCGAGTTCTCACTCCATACACCTTCACTAGAGAAGTTCCAGATGATTTCAGACTTGCTCATCTCTACTGAACTTAAGGTAAAACTTGAAAACTGCTGCTTCATGACATCACAAGTTGGAACAGAGCATTCTGAGTTTTGGAGAAGTAGACAGACTAATAATAAAAACACATGTTTTTGGGGAGGTAACAACATTCTGACATGACTTGAAGATCACAAGAGTCAGATTTGTGTAAAATAGAACCTTTACATGAGCTGTACATGATTATTACAATCTTCAGAACATGAAAAACAGAAATATTTCATTTTAACTTACCTTATGCATTCTGAGCATCCTAATTATTCACCACGGTGACTTTAGAAACAACATTCACAACACGCAAAGGCCAGAGCTGAGTTTTGTCTTCACGGGAATGTTAACAAACGTCCTGATTCTCAAAATGCTTTATAATAACATGACTAAGGCTGTCACAATAATCAATAAAATCAGTCACTGTGGTACTAAGAGGTCCACTGCGGTGCATGTTGGGCCAAAGCGATCTCCGCATGTGACCAACGTAACCCGATCCAGAGTCCTGCACAGGTGAATTTTTAGAGACCCGCACTCGCCCAGAACCCTTAACATTCCACCGCCTGTGCCCGTGATAACCCAGGACTAACCCAGGACTAACCCAGGACTAACCCAGGACTAACTGACCCGACCTGGTGCGGGACTGACCCGACCTGGTGCGGGACTCTGACCCGACCTGGTGCGGGACTCTGACCCGAACTGCCACAGTAAGAGCTGGAGAGATGCAGCGGCACTTGTTCCAAATCCAAATGTTACTTCTGTCATGCTACAAATGCTATATCCCCACAACAACCAAGGTACATGTGCACCTGCAACAAGTACATCATCAGAGAGTTTTCAGAGCCACTGGAAATATTGTAACGGGTGTGAAGTGGGGGAGGGGGTGTGATGTCACTGCATACTGCACTGTTGAGCCGCTAAACCGCACCACATGAGAGATTCCCTAACCGCGACAGCCATAAACATGACAAACACAATCAATATTGAGCTCTAAAAAAGATGCATTCATTTCTGTGTAGACTCTGCACCTGACTGGGCGACAGGTGCGCTGGAGGAGAGGCATTTAGGTGTTTTCAAGAAAACTCCTGCACACTGTCTCAATCCTGTTTTTTCTTTTATTGAGACGACGTTTTGATCCCTCAGACTTTTCTCAGGTGTGAGGACAGGCTCTTCCTCTCCCCGCTGTCCTCACACCTGAAGAAGCTCTAAAAATGATGGCCTCTCTGTCATTTACAGAACAATAAGTGGATATAGTTGTTATCAGAAAAAGCCTCGATGACAAAAATTCACAAACAAGAAATGGCGCACAGAAAATATTAGTAGTAAGAGTAATAACAGCACAATTCAGTCAAATATAATAAAAAGATGTGATTGTTTGTGAGTGTTCCTGCTGTGCACTGACAGGATCA